TGCTGGGATGACAGGTGTGAGCCACCATGCCTGGCCTATGCTCACTTTTTCCTCACTTCCCAAACCACCACAATATAACTGCCACACCAACAATTTATTCAAACTCTCCCAGCAAAATTTCTGTGACCTCATGTTGCCCAATCTAGTGAATCTCCGCAGCCTTTATCTTATTTGACCTCTTCGTGGCTTTTGATGATGCCAACCATTTCCTCCTTCTTGAAAAACTACTTTTCATCTTATTCCATGACAGCATGTTTCTGGTTACTTTTCTTTCTCTCTCTCTCTTTTTTTTTTTTTTTTTTTTTTTTGAGATGGAGTCTCACTCTGTCACCGAGCTGGAGTTTAGTGGCGCGCTCTCAGCTCACTGCAACCTCCGCCTTCTGGGTTCAAGCAATTCTCCTGCCGCAGCCTCCCAAGTAGCTGGGACTACAGGCACATACCACCACACCTGGCTAATTTTTTGTGTTTTTAGTAGAGATGGGGTTTCACCATGTTGGCCAGGATGGTCTCGACCTTCTGACCTCGTGATCCGCCTGCCCTGGCCTCCCAAAGTGCTGGGATTACAGGTGTGAGCCACCGCGCCCAGCCTTCTTTTTCTCTTGAGAGTGCCTTCTCCATGTTCTAGATTAAATCATCTTCTCCTTGTCCTGTTAATGGAGGCATGTCCCAGGGCTCCATGCTTGACTTCCACACCTCACACTGCTCGTCTCTTACTGGCTTATAGTTTTATCTGCCACAATACCTTGATGGCACCCACATTTAAGTCTGTAGTTCCCTCCTTCACGCTCCAGATGCACACGTCCGATGGCCTGCTGTATGTCTTCAGCTGAGCATCCATAACGCTTCCCATTCACTATGTCAAAAGCTGAATCAGGCCGGGTGTGTGGCTCGCACCTATAGTCCCAGCACTTTGGGAGGCCAAGGTGGGTGGATTGCTTGAGCCCCGGAGTTCAAGACCAGCCTAGGCAACAGAGCAAGATCTTAATTCTACAAAAAGTTAAAATTCAAAAGTTAGCCAGGCATGGTGGTGTGCTGTGTGCCTGTAGCCCCAGCTACTCAGGAGGCTGAGGCAGAAGGATCTCTTGAGCCTAGGAGTTTGAGGCTGCAGTGAGCTGTGATCACACCACTGCACTCTAGCCTAGGTGACAGAGTGAGACCTTGCCTCTTAAAGAAAACAAAATAAAACCAGCCAACCAACAAGCAAAGAGCTAGAATTCATCACCTCACCCAAGCCCCAAAGCCTTAGGCCTGTAATCCTCTCAGTTTGTACCAATGTCATTCTTCCGGCTGCCCAAACCAAAAACCTAGAAGTTGTCCTCAACTCTTTGCTCTCCACTATCCCCATATCCAATCAAACACCACTTCTGGCCTGGCGCCATGGCTCATGCCTATAATCCCAGCACCTTGGGAGGCCAAGGCAGGTGAATCACAAGGTCAGGAGTTCAAGACCAGCCTGGCCAACATGGCGAAACCCCATCTCTACTAAAAATACAAAAAAAAAAAAAAAAGGCCAAGTGTGGTGGCTCACACCTGTAATCCCAGCTACTCAGGAGGCTGAGGCAGGAGAATCGCTTGAACCCAGGAGGTAGAGGTTGTGGTGAGCTGAGATCGTGCCACTGCACTCCAGCCCAGGTGACAGAGCGAGATGCTGTCTCAAAAACAAAACAAAACAAAACACAACAACAAAAAAGTCACCTCTTATGTATTTTCCCTCCTAAACATTTCTACAATCCATCCACACCTCTTCATCTCCACTGTCACTATTACCCTGTTCTCACGCCCACCTTTGTGCATGCTGATTTTGAGGTATCAGTGGGACATTGAGGTGGACATTTAGGTCTGGAGTGTGAAGGAGACAGACACTAAAGTATGAGGAATCCAGATCACGGGTGGAGTCCATGGAGCTGGGGAGAGGGGCAAAATGGATCAGGATGAAGTTGTTTTAGGAGAGGAACAAGAGGTTGTCAGGAAAGTGGAAGTGGTTGGCAATGTTTCATGCTATAGATGGGTTATGTAAAATGAAGGCTGAAACCCCGGGAAGGCTGACAACATGTGGTCTCTGGGTACTGTATTAGTTCTCTATTGCTGCCATAACAAATATCACAAACAGCAGTTTAAAACCACAAATGCAGCCAGGCGTGGTGGCTCCCACCTGTAATCCTAGCACTTTGGGAGGCCAAGGTGGGTGGATCACTTGAGGTCAGGAGTTCAAGACCAGCCTGGCCAACATGGTAAAACCCCATCTCTACAAAAAATACAAAAATTAGCCAGGCATGGTGGCACGCACCTGTAATCCCAGTTACTTGGGAGATTGAGACAAGAGAATTGCTTGAACCCAGGAGGCAGAGGTTGCAGTGAGCCAAGATCATGCCACTGCACTCCATCCTGGGCAACAGAGCCATACTCCATCTCAAAATAATAAATAAATAAATAAATAAAACCACACATGTGGCCAGGTGCAGTGGCTCGTGCCTATGATCCCAGCACTTTGAGAAGGTGAGGTGGGATTGCCTGAGCCCAGGAGTTCAACACCAGCCTGGGCAACATGGTGAGACCCCATCGCTACAAAAAAAACAAAAATTAGCCAGGCATGGTGGTGGAGGCCTATAGTCCCAGCTACTTGGGAGGCTAGGGTAAGAGGGCTACTTGAGTCTGGGAGGTCAAGGCTGCAGTGAGCTGTGATCATACCACTGCACTCCAGCCTCGATGAGAGAGCAAGATCCTGTCTATTAAACACACGCGCGCACACACACACACACATTTTCTTTCTCATAGCATCTGTAGGTCAAAGTCTAGCATGCCATGGATAGATTATTTGCTCAGGAACTCACTGAACTAAAATAAAGGTGCTGGCTGGCTAGGGTTCTCATTTAGGTCTCAGCATCCACTTCCAAGCTCAGTGGTTATTGACCAAATTATTTCCTTCTCGTGCTTTCCACGCTGCCCCCACCATCTTCAAGCCAGCAACAGCAGGTGAGCTCTTCTCTCGCTCGGAATCCCTCTGACCTCCTCTTCTGCTTGATGGGCTTGTGGGATTGTGTTGGGGCGGCCCAGGGAACCCAGGAAAATCTATTTTAGGTAAACTGAATAGTAACCGTGACCATACCTACAAAATCCCTTTTGCCATGCAATGCAACATAATTATGGCAGTAAACACCTGCGGATGAAGGTCATGCCTACCATGGACTCTGCTAGAGGATTTTGATTAAATTAGTGGGGTGGTGAAAGCCATATTGTGGTGGTTTGGGAAGTAAAGAAAAAGTCAGTGGTGGCTGGCGGCAGGAGGACTTGGGAGGATGGGTGGGAGGGCTTCCTGGTGTGTCCCCTCTGTGCATCTTGGGTTCTATGGGCCGCCCAGACTGACCTCATCCCAACATGGTGAAGCTCCATCTCTACTAAAAATACAAGAATTAGCCAGGCATGGTGGTGCACGCCTGTAATCCCAGCTACTCAGGAAGCTGAGGCACGAGAATCGCTTGAACATGCGAGGTGGAGGTTGCAGTAAGCTGAGATTGAGCCACTTCACTCCTGCCTGGGTGACAAAGTGAGACTCTGTCTCAAAAAGAAAAAAAAAAAAATGCTACTACTAATAATAAATAAAGTGCCTCAGGGCCAGGCATGGTGACTCATGCCTGTAATCCCAGCACTTTGGGAAGCCAAGGTGGGAGGATGGCCTTGAGACCTCTCCAAAAAAAACAAAAGACAAAACAATTACGAAAAGAAAAAAATAAAGTGCATCCGATCCTTTGTTTCCCTACTGAAAGCGGCCCAGCACTGCCTCGTCACATGTGGAATAAACCCAGGCTCTTTGTCCCAGCCTCAGGCCTCTGTGATGGGGCCGCAGCCCGCCTCCCCACCACCCTCCTGTCCTCTCTCGTCACCGAGGCTGCCATGACCCTCTTCCCGTTCTAGGAACAGCATCGAGCTCATTTTCGCCTGAGGACTTTGCACTCCTGTCCTGTCGCCTTGGAACACTCTTCTCCCAGGTCTTCGCAGGACCGGCTCCTTCTTGTCTTTCAGTCTCTGCTTCAATGTTGTCACCTCTCAGAGAGACTTTTGCTGATCACCTGACTAAAAGTATCCCGCCCGTCACTCTCCAACCGTAGCAGTGCCTTCTAGCTTATTTATGAATGTTGTTGCTATTGTCTGCCACGGCCCACTGCAATGCCGGGCCCACAAGGGCGGGGACCCTGTCTAACTTCTTTGCCACTATTCCCAATACCCTAGAAAAGGGCCTGATCAAAGCTGGCACGAAAATATGAATAAGGAGGCCGGGTGCAGTCGCTCATGCCTGTAATCTCAGCACTTTGGGAGGCCAAGGTGGGAGGATGAGCCCAGAAGTTTGAGACCAGCCTGGGCAACATGGTGAAACCCTGTCTCTACGAAAAAATTTTAAAACTTAGCCGGGCAGGCTGGGCGCGGTGGCTCACGCCTGTAATCCCACCACTTTGGGAGGCCGAGGTGTGCGGATCACCTGAGGTCGGGAGTTCAAGACCAGCCTGGTGAACATGGTGAAACACCATCTCTACTAAAAATACAAAAATTAGCTGGGTATGGTGGCACGTGCCTGTAGTCTCAGCTACTTGGGAGGCTGAGACTGGGACATGAGAATTTCTTGAGCCCAGGATGCGGAGGTTGCAATGATCAGGCCACTGCACTGCAGCCTGAGTGACAGAGCAAGACTCCATCAAAAAAAAAAAAAAAAAAAAAAGATATGAACAAGGATTTCAAGCAATAACTCTGGAGCACAGCCTCTGGTTCTGGGCCCTGAGATTGCAGAGGCACGATGGAGAGTCCAGTGATGTCCAGGGATACACAGAGTTGAGATGAAGCCTTCGACCCACCACACTCACAGCAGTTACGGGGCCGTCCCTGCACACCGGCGTGGGCATATACTGCAGAAATTTCCAGAGATACCGCATTCCGCACATCTCACGCCAGATTCGCATTTCCTCCCCAGAAATTCCCTGCGGGCGCTGGCCTTGAACTCCTGGAAGTCACCTGCTCCTTGGTGGTACGGTTGTGTCTGTCAACCCTGGGCTTCGAAAGTTTGTCTAGTCAAATCAACAGGTTCCTTCCACGAAGAAAGGCAAAGATGCATGCATGTGTCTTTTTGTGAAGTATGTGTGTGTCTGAGTCAGGCATCTGCCCACCTTGAGGGTAACCTCAGCATTTCCTTTCAGCCCTTCCACTCAGCCGTGGCCAGCAGAACTTTGTGTGTTTTCTGGAGAAAAGCTGAGTAAATGGTTTTGCCATGGGCGGGACGCTGACTGCTCTTCCTCCTCACCCTGGCCCTTTATATATCTCCAGGCAGCCATGGCGAACACATCTGGCTCCAGAAGCCCCCACCGAAGCTGGCCTTGCTCTCTCTCGCCATGGCCTCTCACTCAGGTATTGCTCGCTGGTCCTGGTGCTTCCGGAGTCTTGGGCATCATCTTATCTCACCAGGAAGATTCTGGAAGCACTGCCCCCAGGGTTGGCTCAGCACAGCTGCAGGGGGAGCCGGGGTGGACAGGGGTGTGTGATGCATGCGTTCACGGCATCGTTCTCTCTCCAGGCCCCGCGACGTCCGTGCTGTTTCTGCTCTGCTGCCTGGGAGGCTGGCTGACCTCCCACACGTTGCCCGTCCATTTCCTACAACCAAGTGATATACAGAAAATAGTCGAGGAATTACAGTCCCTCTCGAAGATGCTTTTGAAAGATGTGAGTGCCCTAGAGATTTCTTTTCTAAACGATTTCTTTAAAATGCCTTCCATTGCCCTCCGAAGAGGTTCATCTCTCCAGACCTGAAGCCAGGGCTGTGGCTATGCCAGGAAGGGATGGGGGCAACTAGACAGGAGAAGATGGCTTTTTTTTTTTTTTTGAAATGGGGTCTCGCTCTGTCGCCCAGGCTGGAGTGCAGTGGCGCGATCTTGGCTCACTGCAACCTCTGCTTCATGGGTTCAAGCGATTCTCCTGCATCAGCTTCCCAAGTAGCTGGGAGTACAGGCACATGCCACCACGCCTGGCTAATTTTCATATTTTTAGTAGAGACAGAATTTCTGCATGTTGGCCAGGCTGGTCTCGAACTCCTGACCTCAAGTGATCCGTTTGCCTTGGCCTCCCAAAGTGCTGGGATTACAGGCGTGAGCCACTGTGCCCAGCCAAGATAGCTTTGATCAAACAAACAAATACCCAAACTTGGAAGCAATTCATGAAATTGGCATTACCCTTCTCATCTGCCTTGGCATTTAGACTTTAGCCTTGGCTTTTATAAAAGGCAGAGGTTGTTACCAACCAAAGATGACTGGGCAGTTCAGGTTGATGAGGTGCTGCTGGCAATTTGGTCTGACTCAAAAACGGTTAGTCCTTAGAAAGAGGGCAGGGAGGGAGTGGTCTAGACTCCTTGGTTTGTTTGGGAAAACTCTCCCCTGTATCTTGGATGCCTTTCTGGACAAGCCTAACACTGTCCTCTCTAAGTGGGGCGTACGTGGCTTTAACACAGAGTACAAAGGGCAGAAGTCCATGGAAGGCCAGATGTGCTACAGTTTCCACCACCCTGAGCATGTGAGAGTGGGTTCTGGAAGGCTGGGGAGGCCTCAGCTGGATGGGTCAGTGGTTCTGAGCACAGGCTTCAGGACTGCAGCCACCTAAGCTCTAGTTTCATCTGGAAATGGGGTTACTGATGGCACAGCCTCATAGGGTTGTGACATTGATCAGATAAATATATCCACCAGGCGGGTTGTGGAGGAAGCATGCAAACATTCACTGTCAGGACTTGCAGCTGTTATTGCAAACCCAACACTCACCATTTCTCCTCGTTCCACAGGTGAAGGAAGACAAGGGGGTGCTCGTGTCCCAGAATTACACGCTGCCGTGTCTCACCCCTGACGCCCAGCCGCCAAACATCATCCACAGCCCAGCCATCCGGGCATATCTCAAGACAATCAGACAGTTAGACAACAGATCTGTTATTGATGAGATCATAGAGCACCTCGACAAACTCATATTTCAAGATGCACCAGAAACAAACATTTCTGTGCCAACAGACACCCATGAATGTAAACGCTTCATCCTGACTATTTCTCAACAGTTTTCAGAGTGCATGGACCTTGCATTAAAATCGTTGACTTCTGGAGCCCAGCAGGCCACCACTTAAGGCCATCTCTTCCTTTTGGAATGGCAGGAACTTAAGGAGCCTTAAAAAGATGACTGACAGCTAAGTGTGGGAACTCTGCCGTGATTCCTTAAGTACATTTTTCCAGTGAATAATCTCAGTGACCCCTCAGATGGGCTAGTCCTGGGAGGGCTGAGATGTAAATTTGTGAATTACCTTGAAAAACATTAGGTTATAGTTATTAGTCTTGGTATTTATGGAATGTTTTTCTTCAGGAGGCTTAAATCTTACTTATGATACCTTTGTGAGGGCAGGAGGTGGCAGCTATGTTAATTTATTGATATTTATTGTACTAAAAGTTGTTAATGCTCCCTGCGGGAGCCCTTGGAATCTATTTAATAAATTATATTGAATTTTTCTCATAATCTGTGATGCGTTTTGTGAGGAGCTTGACATTGGCAAATGGGACTCCAAACTGGGTAGCGTTGTGGCAGAGGGTGGATGGACATGCTCTAGAAAGAGGTATCACTTTACCACTGTCATTTCTTCCCACTGGACAGGCTCAATAAAAAATAATGACCCTGGGCACTGTGGCTCACACCTGTAATCCCAGCACTTTGGGAGATAAAGGCAGGAGGATCACTTGAGCCCAGGAGTTCAAGACCAGCCTGGGCAACATAGTGAGACCCCATCTCTATTTCAAAAAAGAAAGAGAAAAAAACTAACGACTTTGGCGGGGCATGGTGGCTAGTTTCGTCTGGAAATGGCAATGGTGATGGCCACAGCCTCATAGAGTTGTAACGCAGATCAGATATCCCAGCACTCTGGGAAGCTAAGGCTGGAGGACTGCTTGAGGCCAGAGTTTCGGACCAGCCTGGGCAACATAGCAAGATCCCATCTCTAAAAAAACCAAACCAAACCAAAACAAAAAATCAGCGTGGTGGTGTGCTACTTAGGAGGCTGAGGTGGGAGGATTGCTTGAGCCCAGGAGTTCGAGGCTGCAGTGAGCTAGGACAGCACCACTCACTCCAGAGACAAAGCAAGATCCCAGGAGCAATAAATACTCATTGAGCATTTTCTCTATGCCAGGTCTCTTTTCATAGGTAGGGAAACTGAGGCAGGAAGTCAGTCACTTGCTCAAGGCCACACAGCTATTAAGGAGTGGAACCCAGATTCCAGCCTGGGCTTCTCTGCCTTACCCAGCCTTTGACCCTCCCTGGGCAGTGGCTGGGTCTCACAGGCCCTCGATGCCAGGTGCGGCATGCAGCAATCTTACAGTGTCCTCTGCACAACTCCCCACTGGGTTTTCAGGGCCTAGGGGACTTCTTCATAGCCAGGTCCAAAGATTTTGTCATTTGAATCATTGTTAAGTCCACAACTGTTAAGGCTTCTTAGAGATCACCCAGACTCAAAGCCTGGTCTCTGGGCCAGCAGCAGCAGCAACAGCCCGTGGCAACATTTTAGAAATGTCAATCATCGGGTCTCACCCCAGACCTACTGAATCGGAAGGTCTGTGGGTGGAGACAGCAATCTGGGCTTTGTGGAGCCCTCCAGGGGATTCTAACACACCCTAGAGTTTGAGAACCACTAATCTTGAGTCAACCAGCACCTACATCTTCATCTTATCTCTGGGGAAACTGAGGACCGAAGAGGTGTGGTTTGCACAAGTTCACACTCAAGGGGGGATGTGGTTAGGACTCTGAGACATGCACTTCAGTCTTGGACTTCTCATTTTTATTCTCGCAGGTATTTCTACTGCAGTCCCCTAGCAGGCTTTTTTTTTTTTTTTTTTTTTTTCTTTTAGAGAGTTTCACTCTGTCACCTAGGCTAGAGTGCAGTGGTGCGATCTCGGCTCACTGCAACCTCCGCCTTCCAGGTTCAAGCGATTCTCCTGCCTCAGCCTCCCAAGTAGCTGGGATTACAGGCGCCCGCCACCACGTCTGGCTAATTTTTTGTATTTTTAGTATTTTAGTAGAGACGGGGTTTCACCATGTTAGCCAAGATGGTCTCGATCTCCTGACCTTGTGATCTGCCCGCCTCGGCCTCCCAAAGTGCCAGGATTACAGGTGTGAGCCACTGCGCCCAGCCCCATAGCAGGCATTTAAGCCCCCAGATATCCTAGTCTCCAAGGATGAGGTTTTGGTGATCTTTCCAGAAAATATCCAGTGTGGTGGACTTCTCTCCCTCTTTTTGACTGTCCTACATCAGAACACCTTTACATATATTAGAAAAATTATCGCCGGGCGCGGTGGCTCAAGCCTGTAATCCCAGCACTTTGGGAGGCCGAGACGGGCGGATCACGAGGTCAGGAGATCGAGACCATCCTGGCTAACACAGTGAAACCCCGTCTCTACTAAAAAATACAAAAAACTAGCCGGGCGAGGTGGCGGGCGCCTGTAGTCCCAGCTACTCGGGAGGTTGAGGCAGGAGAATGGCGGGAACCCGGGAGGCGGAGCTTGCAGTGAGCCGAGATCACGCCACTGTACTCCAGCCTGGGCGATAGAGCGAGACTCCGTCTCAAAAAAAAAAGAAAAATTATCTAAAACTGGGAAATAAGGCAAAAAGATGACCATATGTCCTTTCAAAGAATAAGGTAAATACCCACAAGTTCACTGTGATATAAACAAATAGTTGGGCCAGGCGTGGTGGCTCACACCTGTAATTCCAGCACTTTGGGAGGCTGAGTCAGGAGCATCACTTGAGGTCAGGAGTTCAAGACCAGCCTGGGCAACATGGCGAAATCCCATCTCCACAAAAAATACAAAAACGAGCCGAGTGTAGTGGCGCACTCCTGTAATCCCAGCTACTTGGGAGGCTGAGGTACGACTTGCTTGAATCTGGGAGGCAGAGGTTGCAGTGAGCCAAGATGGTGTCACTGTACTCCAGCCTGGGCAACAGAGTGAGACCCTGTCTCAAAAACCAACAAAAAATAAAGATAAAAATAAATGGTTGACGAGATAAATAAATGAGGGAAAAGGGACAAATGTTCCTTATAGAATTCTAATTAATAAATCATAAATACAGAGGAATGAGGGAAATAGAAAATCATCATTAGAACACCACAGTAATAACGGCCTCAGGCAGGATCCACAGAAGAATGCTGAAGTTAGCAGGTGAAACTTTAAGGAGAAACAGGAAATCTGCACAGCCTCAAAGAATCTCCCTTCAAACCATGGTGGTGGCTTTAACATATGTCCACAAAAATTCGATATTCCTCCCTCCAGGAGGGGGGGCTTAACTCCCCTCCCCTTGAAGGTGGGTGGGACTTGGTGACTCCCTTCTAAAGAACAGACCACAAGAGGGAATACAGCAAGGCGGCAAGGCGGCAGGGGAGATGCGTCTCAGACATCACCTCTGGCCAGTGAGCCCACGCTTGGATAGCACGCGCCCTTCACGTGACACAATGAGAAGGTACCTCCCTCACTTCTCTGTGATCTTCCAAAATCACCATCCCAGTCCCATCAGGAGAAAACACCTGCCAAGCCCAACCTAGGGTCATTTCACAAAATCCTTGACTGGCACTCTTCAAAAGTGTCAGGGTCATGAAAAACAAGGAAAGGCTAAGAAAATGGTCACAGATTGAAGACTAAGGAGATACAAGCACTAAGCACAATGTGGGAACCTGGACTGACTCTTGGACCAGAAAACAGACATTAGTGAAAAAAATGGAGAAAATTCAGACAGCTGGTAGTTTAGTGATTTATATCCTATGAGTGTTAATCTCTTAGTTTTTATAAACATGCACAGTTATTTAAGAAATTCCCACTTAGGGGAAGCTGGGTGAAGGGTATACGGGAAGTCTCTGTACTGTCTATAACTTTTCTATAAATCTAAAATTACTTAAAACAGGTCAGGTGCTATGGCTCACCCCTGTAATCCCAGTGCTTTAGGAGGCTGAGGTGGGTGGATCACTTGAGTGATCAGCTCGAGACCAGCCTGGGCAACATGGCAAGATTTCAACATGGTGAGAGCCCACCTCTTTTTTTTTATTTTTCTTTTTGGAGACAGCGAGTTTCTGCCTTTGTTGCCCAGGCTAGCAGGTGCAATGCATCAGTAATCTCGGCTCATTACAACTCACCTCCCATTCAAGGCCATTTTTCATCTCCTGCCTCACTCCAAGTAGCTGGATTACAGCATCCCGCACCATCACATCTGGCTAATTTTTTCTGTATTTATAGAAGATGGGGTTTCACCATGTTGGCCAGGAGCCAGTTCTCAACAACTCCCTGACCGTCAAGTGAATCACCCACCTCGAGCCCTCCACAAGTGCTGGGATTATAGGCATGAGCCACCATACATGGCCCTTCCCACCTCTTTTTTTTTTTTCAATTATACTTCTATATATAATATATTAATAATTTTTTTAATTTACTAAAATATAAAAACTAATAAATATATATTAATTATATATTTTTTATATATATAAAATTACCTGATTTTTTTTTTTTTTTGCTGCAGGTGCGGTGGCTCATACCTGCTCAATCAGCACTTTGGGAGGCTGAGGCTGGCTTGGTATCACCCGAGGTCCAGGAGTCTAGACCTAGCCTGGCCAACTTGTAAACCCTCATCTCTACTAAAAACTACAAAAAATTGCCACGGTGTCGGTGGTGCACACACCTAGTTCAGCTACTAGGAGGCAGAGGCAGGGAGAATTGCTTGAACTCGGGAGCAGAGGTGCAGTGAGTGGAGATGCAATCAGCCTGGGACAAGTGAACTCCATTTCCAAATTAAAAAAAAAAATTTTTTTTTATTCCAAGTTCCCTCAGTGTGCCACATCTTTTGAAGTGCTCATAACAGCTGCACTGGCTAATGGCAACATTATTGGATAGCACAGACACAGAACATCTCCATTACCGCAGGCAGTTCTATTAGATGGCATTGTTCTCAGAGAATGGAACTTTGTTTGACGTATTATGTATTATTCATTAGGTCCCAGGGTCTTTGAACTTAGAGAAAACAGATAAGATGCAAATGATCTCTACCAAGTAGAGAAGATAACTCCAAAGGTTATGGTCGTATTGACTGTAGGGCGTGAACCACTTTCGCATCTAACAGAGCTGTTTGATTCTGGCATTCTTTATCTGCATTAACAACAGACAGACAGACACCAGTATTAGTCTCTCATCTCCTCCTTTGAATCCGCTGCGTTATGCTGATTCCCTCAACACCGAGTTGAATAAAAGCTTGACATAGGCCCACTCTGGGGAAGGGTTGTTTGGTGGGCAGCAGGGCCTGCTGTCTGCTGCAGAAGCTGAAATGTGACACTTGTCTTTCCAGCCTCCCTCGTAGCTAGGCTGTGGGCCTGAGACCGCGGCAATGCAATCAGACTTCAAATCAGACGCTGGTGACATGAAGCAGCAGAGATGGTGGCAGGTGCTTTGTTTCAGGGAGAGGTGGCAATTGCAACAAGATCCCCTCTCTGGA